GTCTCTCACCATCTCTCTCCTACGGCAAGAAACTTCATCGGTCAGCTCTTATCTACCTTTGCCTCTCTTATCTGCTGCCATAATGCAAATTATTTTTAAAAGCTAAACATGCATGAATCGCCATGAAATTAAGAAGAAAGGATTAGGCTTATCAGATATGAAAATATTTTTAACAGTATGATAATTAAAGCAGAAACAAAACAAAAATACAGGATGTCTCAAAGGTCACCACACAAAGGAAAATCAACATAAAATTCATATTTTATATGTTTAATTGTTGTATATTTCAACATGTAGAGGAATATGTTGTAAATATTTATAAATTTTTTTAATGAATATAATGAGTATTTTGTAAATAAAGCTACATGTAGCTACAATTTCCCATTTTCTCCGTGTATGTATGGCAATCTTCGGGATACCCAGCAGCAGGAGGAAAAGAGTTGAGTCCATAAATAGATATACAAGCATGTAGAGACACTGAGTATAGGATGAAGGCAGCATAGCAGATCTGCAAGGAAAAGGGAGAGTTTTTAGCAGGTGGTCTTCAGGTCTTTGTCCCCTCACATTGGGGAAGAGAGAGTAATGGCTGGTTCTCACCCTGCTTCTTATGTCAAAATGAACGTATAATGTTGTAAAAATTTCAACGTAAGTCCAGGTATGGTGGCTCATGCCTGTAGTCCCAGCGGTCTGGGAGGCTGAGATGGAAAGGTCACTTGAGCTCAAAAATCGAGAGCAGCCTGAGCAAGAGTGAGACCCCATCTCTAAAAAAAAAATTTCATGTAAGAAATATAATCATAAAAAGGCGAGAATAAAACCCATGTGATATAGACACATAAGTAGAGATATCTAGTTATCTTGAAATAGGGAAGATTTTTCCAAGACTGATACAAAACCTAAAAATCATAAAGGACAAATTTGATGAAAATGACTAACCACAAACTAATCAAAACTAGGAAAAATACTTTGAACACACCCAGCAGAAACACCTTTCTTTCAACAAAGAGAATTCATAAAAAGCAGTGGAGAAACAATCAAATAAAAAAATTGGCAAAGGACATGAACTGATAGTGGTGGGGGTGGGGGGCTATGTACATACACAAACATGAAATCATGCACAGCTACATTCAAATACAAAACTGCAATTTAGAACACCAACAAGATACCCTTTGTTATTCTTTGTTGGTTTTTGTTTCTTGATCTTTGTATTTCGGAGGATAGTAAAAGGTCAGAAGGAATGTAGCGTTGGCCAGAGTGCCAGGGGACAGGTTCACTATCAGTGGGAAGGTAAATTGGGGAAACCTTCCTTGGGGCAATTTGGCAGCTTCTATCAAAATCATAAAAGCCTGGCTTCTCTGACCCAGCGATTCATTTGTCCCCCAGCTAGGACTGAGCACCTTCCATAGCTGCAGTTATAGCAGTGAGCCAGACCTGGGAGGTTTCCTGCTAGTGAGTGGTGACAAAAACAAAGTCATTTCAAATACGTAGTAAGAAGTGCTCTGAGATGATAAAGAGTGATGCGGCACTCTGGACTGGTTGGTCTGAGGGAGACTCTGGAGAAGGGGCATTTGAGCTGAAAGCTACAGGAGTCGCGAGAGCCAGGCACACAAAGTGTGACATCCAGAGAGAGGGAACAGCATGTGTAAGGTTAGCACAAAGCACAACTGGGGATGAGTCTGAAGTGTCTGTACAGAGGAGAGTCCTGTGTGGCTGGAGCAGAGTCCACTGAGAGCACAGTGGGAGATGAATTTCAGAAGCAGGCTGCACTCTTTTAGGCCAGAGAAGGACCTTGAATATTCTTTTCTGAGACAGAGTCTGACTATGCCGCCCTTGGTAGAGTGCTGTAGCATCACAGCTCACAGCAACATCAAACTCTTGGGCTTAAGTGATTGTCTTGCCTCAGCCTCCCAAGTAGCTGGGACTACAGGTGCCCGCCACAACCCCCGGCTATTTTTTTTATTGTTGCAGTTGTCATTGTCATTTAGCCGGCCCAGGCCAGGTTCAAACCCTCCAGCCTTGGTGTATGTGGCTGACGCCATAACCACTGTGCTACAGGCACCCAGCCACCTTGAATATTATTCTAAGCACAGTGGGAAGTGACGTCACTTTAAGATTTTAAGAAGACAGATGGTCATATTCATGGAAATTTAGTATGTGTTAAACATAACATCTTTGCCATGCATGGTGGCTCCCACCCGTAGTCTCAGCTAACTCAGGAGGCTGAGGTGGGAGGATTACTTGAGCCCAGGAATTCAAGGCTGGCCCGGGCAACATAGTGAGAGTTTGCCTCTAAATAAGCGAATGAATGAATGAAAAACAATGTTGAAAGATATGAGTCAAATTTGGAGAAAAAGTTTGCTCCAGACATTAACAAACAAGAGTTTAAGGTCATAATATATGAAGAGCTTTGGTAAATAAATGCTAAAATGGCAAACAAATAGAAAAATGAATTAAGAATATGAACAGGTACTTCATAATAGAACTGCAGATTGTCAAGAAATATAAACAAATGCTCAAACTATGTCATAGAGAAATGGAGTATTTATTTATTTATTTTTGACTCTCATTTGTCATCCTGGCTAGAGTGCTGTGGCATCATAGCCCGCAGCGACCTCGAACTCTTGGGCTCAAGTGATCCTCTTGCCTCAGTACCTGGGACTACAGGCATCCCAGGCTATTTTTTAGAGCTGGGGT